CAAGGTCTAGTTCCCAGAGCCCCAAGAATGCAAACGCAACTTTGTTTCTTATACCGTTTAGTGACGACGTGAGTGCATCTTGAGTTTTCTGGGTTAAAAGGAAGCACATTCTCATACAGCCACAGGTTGTCCCTGTTACCTGAGCCCAGTAAGGTGGTTGGGAGATTAGGACAGCACAAGGATCAGGTTGGAAAAGTAAAGTCGGCATCTTAGTGACTTGGCTTAAAGCGCACATTCCTGAATTCTCAAATGTGCTTCTAATAGTAACAAGTTGATCTCCACTTTTTAAAAAGTTTTCCCTTCTCTCTCGCTTTCTTTCTCCGTGCCCTCCCCACCCACTGCCAGCCAGTGGATTCCCACTCATTGCGACCCAATAGGCGCGTGGAACCGCCGATAGGATTTCTTTATGGAAGCAGCCAGACGCGTCTTTCTCCCGCACGGCGGCTGGTGGATTTGAACCGCCGACCTTCTGCTGAGCGGCCGAGCCCTTAGCCATGACCCTTACCACCCGAGCTCTTCACTGTAAAGGACCAGGCACGATCCTCAGCTGCTGTGCCACGGCGCCAAGAAAACCCGTCGACCACCAGCCCTGCTGGATTCCTCGCTCCAAATGAGAACCGAGGGGGCACTTCCGGAAGGCTCCTCTATCGGACAGCCCAGGGCACTGGCTCTTAAGGGGCACAGACGTCCCAGATGCCCCCAAAGCACTTCGCTTACCCCACCACCACCACCCCTGAACACTCAACGGATAGGGATGACATTGGTCGTTCGACGTTTATAATAAAACTCCCACGGAAACATCTTAACGCCTGCGGGCGATCGATCACCCAGCACCGCCCCCAGGCATCTCGGAAGCGTCCAGTCCCCCCAAAGAAGAAAAAAGCCCTTCCTCTCTTTACGAGCGGCTGGGAAACCCCGCGGCTCGGAGCAAGAAGAGTTTTCTCCCAGAGGAGCCCAATAACCCCCGGGGTCCCGAGTAGGGGAATGGGTCGCGAAGGCCTGACAGGGGTCCCCAGGGGCCGGCCTCAGGCTGAAGGCACGTGTCCGGGTTTCTCACCAGGAAAGCAGCGAGGATGCCCTGCAGAGCGTCCAGCTTCTCCTCCTCCTCCTCCTCCCGGAGAACGCCCAGGATGTAGGCGCCGTACACCGCTCGGTCCACTCCCAGGGCCTCCAGCCGCCCGTCCAGCCACAGCCGAAAGTCACTGGCCCCACCATCGCCTTCGGCAGAGGCCGCCGCGGCCAGGCCGCTGGGCGCCGCCATCTTGGGGCCAGGGTCCTGCCAGCCCCAGGGCCGCCTGCCGCAGTGCCTGACGGGACGCGCGGACGGCCCACTGCGCATGCCCAGGCCTCGGCCCCGCCCCCACGGGGCGGCGAGCTGGGCACGTCGTGCGTCTGTTTGGTCACGTGATCTCACGGGGCCCGTGACAGGTGCGTCTCCCTAACCGCCTCTTCACCGTCGAGGAAGTTCGGGAGGGTTCGCTAACTTTGGCCAAAGCCCACAGGTAATCGCAGGACTGGACTCCACGACCTCTGACCTCCCTGCGAGGGCGGGAGCCAGGCACGCTTTGTCCAGGAGCTTTCCCGCAGAAACCTGGCGACTCCGCCCGGAAAGGTCGCCGTCGCTGTCAGGGCGGCCACCTTGGCCTTTCTTGGTCGCTGGTCCTGCTCCAACGGAGGCCGTCGATGCTACGGTTACTTCTCTCCGCTGCTCCTCGTCGTGTTTAGGGTCTCCGTAAGTGAACAAGGCAACCCCTCGGCGTTTGTTCAGCTCTGACAACCAGACTTGCTTTGAGGAGCCGGGCTCCCCCAGGTCCTAAGGTGCTAAGAGCATTGCAGGCGTGATGTCCTGGAACCGTCCCGGGAACCTTTGGGTGGAGATGCTTTTCGTGCCCACCCCTGGACCGGGTAGGTTCAGTCCTGCTGAGGCACCACAGGGCCTCAGTGTGGTGGTGTTTTGTTCTTGCCATTTGAGAGAAACTCGGTTGTCATTCCAGACTCCAGACTACGGATCCTTGTCGCTACAGAGCCTCAGTTGATGGCAACACACTTTGCTCTGTGATGGAACGGCTTACCCAGAAACCTGGCTTGGCTTTGGGGAAGCTGCTGAGGTTCCTGGCCTGGCTCACGTCATTCACTAAAGATTGTTGAGTCCCTACAGCATGTCGCTCCTGCTGTCACTCTGGATAGGTGCCATCGAATCGGTGCACCCCATGTACAACAGTGGGACGCTGCCAGGTTTGAGCCCACCGTTGCAGCCGAGTGGTGTCACTGCATCTTGTTGGAGGTCTTCCTCTTTTGTCACTGACCCTCTGCCAAGCATGATGTCATTCTCCAGGGACTCCTAATAACCTCTCCAATGTACAAGACGAGATCTCACCATCTCTGCTTTCAAGGAGCGTTCTGCTGTACTTCTTCCAAGACAGAGTTGATCCTTCTGCTGTCGGTCCATGTGATATTCAGTACTGTTCGTCAGTAATATAATTCAAAGACACCAATGCTGCGTCCATCTTTCCTTATTTACGGTCCAGCTTTTGCATCTGTATGGGGTGATTGATTGAACGGGCCCTGACTCGGATCAAGTACGCTTTAGTCCCATCACCCTAAGGAGAGCTTGTGCAGTAGATCTGCCCATCGCATGATGCCATTTTATTTCTCCCCCACCCCAGCAGGTTAACTGGCATAGAATGCGCATATCATACAAGTCAATCATTTAGCCACATCAAGCAGAGTTGTACAATCATCACTACTGGCCAGTTTATTTCTTTTTTCCGCTCCCCCCAGTTTATTTCTTGACTGCTGCTTCCATAGCCAATTTTTTGTGGATCCAAGTAAAATGCAATACTGTTTCTTTTTTTACTTTTCATTTTATTGGGAGCTCTTATAACTCTTGTTACAAACCATACATCAATGGTATCTGACATATTTGTACATATAGTCCATCGTTCTTTTCTAGACATTTACTTTCTGTTGAGCCCTTGGGATACGCTCCTCCTTTTTCCCTCCCCCCCCACCCCAAAATACTATGTTTCTATGACGATGTGGCTTATTGCTCCCAGTGTGAGCATGGTGTACATGCTGATAGCTATAGTCATTGATCTATATCAAGTCTGTGTATGTGACAAGTCCTCTTAGGAAGCAGGAATGTGTCGTCTGCATGTTATAGGCTGTTGATGGGTCTTCAATCATGACACTGCATCCGTCTCCATATAGTTTGCTGCTTGGAGTGGTGGATCTGCCTTTAAAACAGAAACACTGCCATGGTGTCAATTTGGACTCACATCAACCCCAAGGAGGTTTTTGGGTTCCTGAGGAGTGACTGGTGGACTTGAACTGTCAATCTTGCAGTTAGCAGTCCAACACTTACAAATAGGACCACCAGTGCTGCTCTTGCTCAGCATATAGATGGAGTAAGTATGGTGAAAGGAGAAATGCCTCACACGCACCATTTCTGATTTTAAATCACACAGCATCCCCTTGTTTATCCTCATGGCTGCTTCTTGGTCTACATACAGATAAGTAAGTGTTTGGGAATTCCTATTCTTGATGGTATTATCCATAATTTGCTGCTAGAAATGCAAAGGTGAATGTTACAAAATATCTGCCATCAAGGGGTCTGTAGACCAGTGGGAGCAGGCATGCTTAAACAACTACTTATAATATTAAAAACAAACCAGCAAATGTATTGCTATGGTGCCAATTCTGACTCATCGTGACCTTATAGGATAGAGGGCAACTGCCCCATCGAGAGTCTACGGCTGCAATCTTTACAGAAGCAGACCGCCACATCTTTCTCCCGGAGGAGTGGCTGGTGGGCTCAACCGCCAGCCATTCTGGTCGCAGCCAGACACTGTGTCACCAGAGCACTGTGTCACCAGAGCTTCTGTCATAACAGTACAGTGAGATGAATATTTGGATGAAACTATCTCGTGGAGGTTGCAGTGGGATGCCTTGGAGAAAATTAGATTAGTGTTGCCGATGCAAATGGTTAGAAGGTACGAGGTAGATGAGGTGGGGAGGAAGGTCAGGAAGGTTCCTGAGTGGACACGATTCCTGGAGTTTCTTGAAGAATGAATAAGTTCTTTACGCAAAGGGCGTGGGAAGAAACGTGGAGGAAGTCCCAGATGCAGGGAACTGCATGTAGGGGACCTCTAGAGAGACATCAACAGGCTCAAGCATAGGAACTATGGGGAGGCTGGCACAGGACTGTGCAGTGTCTCATTCTGCTGCGCACAGGGTTGCTATGGGTTGGAGCTGACTCGATGGCACCTAACTGCAAGAACAGTCATATGACTTGGGCAGCAAGGTTCAGAGAGAAGAGGTTTAGGGAATGACAGCACACAAAAAGGGAGGGCACTGTATACCATGAGAAGAATCCCTTGGGAGAGGTATCCAAATGACTTGTTTTCATTAGGATAAAGTAAGTGAACGGACATGGAAAACTATAGAGCTCGTAGAAAGGTGAGTTAGTGTTACTATTAGTCCCCATGGCTGCAATGGCCTCCCAGAGTTAGAAGGTGGCATCAATGAATGGAACTAGAGGCAGAGTCAACCATGTGCAAAGATTGTCCTCTCTCTAAGTCTTCTGATATCCCTCCTAGCCCACCGGCTGTCTTGGCGATATGGTTTGTCAGTTCACCGAAACGAATAAATAAGCAAATAAAACACTGCCATCGAGTCGATGCTGACTCCTAGGTCGATGCTGACTCCTAGCGACCCCCTGTGGATTTCTGAGACTGTAACAGCTTATGAAAGTAGAAAGGCCAGTCTTTTTCCCATGGTCAGTTCACAGATCTCTGGAAACCATCCTGGCTCAAGGAGCAGAGTTTAAAGTCGGTGCAGCATCTCTATAACCAGGAGCTCCCTAGGTTTAAAATGAGTCACCCCAAAGGTGGGAAGGGGGATCGCACTACCATCATAAAAGAAGATCAGGAAGTGGAGGGCATCCTTTGAACCTGAATGCTTGTGCTGAACCTCAATCCTGGAGACAGCCAGAGGTGGCAGCAGAGAAACAGCGGTCGCAGAGCCAGCAGAACCAGACCAGAGCAAAACAGGCCAGAGGGCGAGAGAGCTCGCAGGCAGGAGGCTTGCTGGTGGGAAGTGCCTCAGCGCACTTATTTGGGAGAAGCTAAATTACCGATGTACAGAGCAAGAGCAGAGCACTGGTCAAGTTTTACTGGCACAGTGGGTGCCTCTGGCATTTAGCCATAGAGCTAAAGGAGCTTTGGAACACTTGAATGAGGCAAAGATGGAGGGGCTTCAGAGCCTGGGTGAATCTGGCATCTACTGCAGCTTGTCTTAATTGAAGAACTGTATCCAGCGAATTCCTGACCCCGACTTACAACCAACTGCTTCTAGCGCTATAACAATAGTCTCTGAGA